GGTTTACGTCGATTGTGGTTTCCACGGCAGCATCAATTATTTATTATCTTTTTTTATTTTATTTAAATGGCACACATACAGTTATAATTATCAAAGAGTAATGTAAAGTCGATAGCCATAGACAAATTGATAAAATACACTAGGTGACCAAATTATTAGGGACAGTATTGAAATTTTTTAATTTCCTAGTTTAATTGGATTTCTGTAACAAACGATCAGTTGTAGGTCTCTTATTTCTTTTTAATTTGTATCTGTATTCTATAAGGATCACCAAAACTACAAAAAAATTACAAAACTGATTTATATTCTTCGTATGAGTATTATCAATATTGGTAAAAATAAATAAAATATTTTTTAATATTTAGTGATGCCACCCTTTGCTGCAGTAAGAGCTTCTATGCGTCGGGGCATGCTCTCAATACATTTTTTGCATTTTCCTGGAGTTTGGAGTTGTGGTGCCATTCTCTGATGAGAGTTTCAATCAATTGTCGCTTAGTGGTAATCACTTCTTTCGCGATCGCCCGTTTGGTGAGTTCCCACACGTTTTCTATTGGATTCATGTCTGGTGAATTCCCTGGCCAAGGCAAAACAGCCAAAACATTTTTTTCAGCCAAAAATGCAGTTACACTTCTGGCCTTGTGGCACAGTACTGAGTCATGCATAAAAATGTATTCGTCATCATCAGGGAACCATTCATTGACCTGCGGCAGTAATCGCGTTTCTAGTACTCGCTTGTATTGGTCTTGTTTCATAGTCCCTTTCACGATGTATAGGCGCCCCATGCCTTTGGCTGAGATGACAGACCACACCATGACTAACCGGGTGTTTAACCCTCTCTACAAGGCAATCAGCGTGAAATTTTTCACCAGGACGTCGTCTTACAAAAGAACTTTTGTCAACCAAAATTTGAAAGGTTGATTCGTCGGAAAAACACATCTTTTTTTTTCGGTGCGGAAATCCCCTCGGATACCACCTATCGGTGGCATGTCGGACTCAAACCGACTAAAAGCGCACGCCGTCTCGGGTACTAATAGCCGGGGAACCAGGTATACCATACCTCGGGCCATCTACAGACGAGTAGACGACCCCCCCCGTGTGGGACCCCATGTTCCCTCTGCTCTCTGGAAGCGAGCGCGCTTCGCAACGCGCTCGCCGCCACCCCGGCCTGCTTCTGCTAGGGTGACAGATGGCCTCACCTGTCACCCCCACAGGCCTGCGCTTATGAAGGACGGAGGTCGTTCTGCGACCTCCAGCGCCTGAGTCGCCTGCGGTACCTAGCCCGTTCCCGGGCCTGGCGGGCCGGGAGAGTTCTAAACCGGTCCCGCTCCGCCGTCTCCTTCGCGAGCATAACTTGCTCGCAGAAGGAGACGGCAGAGTTCCACGCACTCTCACTCCGCACGATAGCCGCAATCAGGCTATCGAGCGAGAGAACTCCCACTCCGATGGCCGCCACGAGGTCTCGCCTCTGCTCAACCCACGCCGGGCACTCTGTCAGCGTGTGGAGAGCCGTGTCCACGGTCTGGCCATCGCAGTGGTGGCACTCAGGCGTTGGCTCCTTGCGGATCAGACACAGGTGATCCCCGAAACATCCTTTCCCAGTGATCACCTGCGTCAGTCGGTATGAGAGGGTCCCGTGACGTCTCTCAAGCCAATCCTCCATAACGGGTCTTACCGCCGCGATGACGGCGTGCCCGGCCGGAAAAACACACTTGTAATTAATAGAATGAATAGTAGAATAAATAAATAAATTGTTATTGACCAATTGCATTATAAAAAAAAGTTACACTTACTCGACTCCAGTCTGCAATAGTCATATATCGATGTTGCCTAGCCCATTGGAGTCGTTTCTTTTTCATACTTTTGGTTACTTATTGGTTAGCCGTGGTTTTTTGGTAGCCCGCCGTCCCATCAGATTCTCTTCGACCAACCGCCTCCGCATTGTCCTCTCTGAAATCTTTACGCCCTCTTCGTTTGTCATAGTAGTTAAACAAGCGACGCTCTTTTTACGGTTTTCGAGGCAGATGTTCCTGATTTTTCGATCGGTACGAGCTATTGTAATTCTTTTTCTTCCACATTTGCCAGCACGATTTGCTTGACGGCAGACTTTGACACCCCAGCAATAGCTGCTATGTCTCTCTGGGAATGTGTGGAGTGCAGTAACAACGTTTGTATCTCTCTAAATTTTCTTGGGGACGTGTCCAAAGTCCTACCCAACCTACCAATCCATAGACAAAACGTAGCAAAACTATTCTTATACGGAGCACCTTTTGATTATTTAAGACACAAAAGTCGGCTAAAACTAATGAAAAATAATACCGAAAACCGCGCTTTTTACGGTCAATAAAGAAACGTCACACAATTGATAAAAGACGCACGTATTCTGTGTTGCCGTTTGACAAAAACAATAATAATGATACCAGTAAATATATCAGATACAATAACCGCTTAAAAACAACATCATTTATTAAAAAAAAAAACTATAAGTTACATAAATACGAGCACTGTCACTTTTTTTTTTTCTTTTTTTTTTAGTGCGGTAATGTTATAAAAGACTTTTAAGAGTCCACAGATAAAGAAAAGCAAAAATCAAATGCTAATATTTATTTATTTATTTATTTATTTTATTTGGTCAGCCAACGATTATTACACTAAACATTACAGAATTAACTTAAAGACTAAACATGTGTGAGTGCAATAATCACTTACAGGCTAACACCACATGCACTTAAAGTAACGGTTTTACAAGTTTAAAATAAATAGGATATAGGTAAATTATTAATTTAACATGATTAAAAACAAGCATAACAACAAAAAAACCATTAATTAATTAGCAATTAAATTAAAATTCCGTTTTTTGTAAGGAAAGAAAATATTAAAATAACAATTCAGATGAAGTTCAATAAAATAATTTACAATTCATTCAAAGTGATTGTACTTGAGTTATTCCAGTGAGTACTACACCAATAATATTATGCATTAAAACATTTAAAAAGTTTAAATTATGTAACAAGTTAGGATTAAATAAAATAAAAATTGTAATAGTTGTATTGTGTGTCATATAAATAAATAAAAACATATAATAAAATAAATAGAAATTTCACAAATTCAACTTGAGACAAAAATCAAAATTAAAATCAAGATTATAATTGAAATTTGTTAATTCTGAATCAAACTCACACTATAACAAAAGAGTGCTATATTTGATAAAGAATAACATTACAGCTCGGTCAATAATACAATGCAGTCATTCATTTTTTTGTGTGAACTGGTTGATGATGCACTTATAAAACTTACTAATGCTATCATGGTGTAAATCAATCAAATCACTGCAGCCATTCAAAATTCTGCATAATCTGGGTATAAGTGAGTTAGTGCCTGACATTGTTCTCCTTAATGGTGGACACAGCGGTGTAATACTGTTTCGAGGATATCTAGACGGAGCCCTGAACCTTACGAGACTCAGTAAATCTGGACAATCGATTAGGTTTCTCACGATTTTAAATAAATATAATGCATCAAACACGTCTCTGCGCACCGACAGTGGGTGCATCCTAAAATACTGCAATCGGTTGCTATACGTGGTCAGATGTTTACCTTTGCCTGAAGATAATGTAAGGTATGACAGAAAGCGCTTTTGAACGCGCTCTATGCGTAACGTGTGCACGGCATAGTGGGGTCTCCACACAACACAACATTATTCATAGATACTCCTCACGAGACTAATATCTTTTTTCCCACCCTTTTCCAAACAAAAATTGTTTTACACATAGATTCTAAAAAATAGCCGAATTTTTAAATATTTTTTTCACTACAAGACGGTCCAATTTGATTCCAAATATTTGTTTGTATGGAGACCCGCCATTGTTCTTTCTTATCGCAGGTTACAAGCTTGAGCGGATGCGAGTGAGACCGAAAAATGTGTAACAAGACTTTTTTCCAACACTATGGTAAACATCTATCAAAAACCGAAAGGAAATTCGTTTCGACCGGCCAATGTCCATAGACCTCTCACGCCGTTTTTTTATTCTTATTGTTATTCCGATTCTATTTGACAAATTATAATTCCTTTTTATACGATATTTAAAATAGACTGATTTTATATAAAAATGAAATACGAATTTCTAGCCCTTGGACTGAAAATTTAAAACAAAACATAGACCTTGAGATATGAAAGGTTAGTACCATAATATACACTATATATCTTCGATTTGCCATAATCTACTTTCAAATACAGGATTAAAGTTTAAATAGAATTTGAAATAAACAAGTATATTTAGTAGTACTTTCTCTTATTTCTCTTCCAGCTAGTTGTTAGAAAAGGGTATTTGTTCCCTTAACTCCCTTGTAAACAAAAGATACCGCTGCAAAGAACCAAGACCAGCAGTGGACTATCAAAGACTTGAACAAAAGGAAGAACGTTGTTTTCCTCAAAAAGTGATGTTTTATGAATAGAGGCTTTACCTTATAAGCAATTCTTGCTATATTTGTATACATAATTTGAATCTCTTAAACGGCTATAAAGATTTTCATGAAATTTAGTATGCGGGTGTTTCGGGGGCGATTAATCGATCTAGCTAGGTTTAATTTTTACAAATAAACAAAAATACCGAGCAAAACTCGGTCATCCAGGTACTATTTATATAACAGGTCTAGATGAACTAAACGGCAAAAAATAAGATAAATAAAAACAATAACATATATTTTTTTAAATTAATGTAATGAACTGCGCTCACGTGCTTACCTACTTCTCACTTGAACGACAGCTACTAACTTATTTCTATGTGTGTAGTACCTGTTATCAGGTTGCTACTAAATACAACCAGTAAAATCCATAAGAAATCTCCACTGTCAAAATACATTACACTACCTTACCGCTACTAAATTAAATACATAGATTTAACAAAAAACGAAATATTTTTAATATTGACAGACAACTAGGTGTGTTGTTCGTTCAATGTGGAACGCAAGAAGACTGCATAGTTCGAAGACGCATTAAACTATCAGCCATAAGCGCATCCTTGACTGGTCAGCATTCTTAAGCCGGGTCCGGTGTCCGCCTCAGGAATGTCTGCGACCAGCAACTCGAGACGGAAGGAGCAGCGGCGGAAGCGGTTCATGGAACCGAACTGTAAACTTCCAGAACACCTCTGGAACCACCTTGATAACAATCTAAATCGAACCTTATGTTTAAGACCTAAAATTGAATGTTCTCTTTGAAACATTCTCGAAAAGTACGGCTACAAAATGTTATCACCGTTAGTAAATAAAGGCTTTAAATATCAATACCTGTATCGCTGAACTTAATCTTATATCACTCTGAATAGAGTTGACAATTGTATAAATAGTAGTGGTTACATAATGTGTATCTTCAGGAACATTCTGCGCCACAGCGCGCGACCGTCGCGCTCCACTGTACCGTGCATCCTGCCTCATACAAGTTGTAATTTTCCAAGTACCTATTTTACCAAAATGTTTTTGCACAAAATCGTCTATCGCTACTTAAGTACATAGTTAATAAATTAAAATTTAATTTACAAACAGTTCCATTCCATTGCTTATCAGCTCTTTCAAATATATTTAGTTAAATGTATTTTGTGTCGAAAGCGTAATAATTTAATTGGCTACGGTCATAGCCCTCAAATATTTATTTTGGGTTTCCAAGAGTCTCTGTTTTGACTGGCAGCTCCAATGACTGTAAATTTAAGATGGCAATTATATATTTAAAAAGAATTCGTTTCAGTTGCTTGTGTAAAGTTTTCGGCCTTTTGGGACGTATCAACTAAAAGCCCCCCATGATAGCTTGCAAAATGCAATACAATGTAGAATGAGAACTAACTTCCTTTCTTCTTTATATACGGCGTCAAAATTTACTTTGGTCGGTTAATTAAACAATTGAGCGGATCCCGCATGCATCGTCCGTCTCAATTGAAAACAGTTATCGGAAATCAATTGACACTAGGTAAATTGACTCAACAAGTCTGATATATGATGTTTTTTGAGATGATCACGTCCATTTGTTTCATGTTTAAAAGTATTTCTAGTAATTATGCGAGTTTACAGATCTTAACACGTCCAGCCAAACAACGACTATGTTATTGTACATTCAACAAAATTGAAAATACATATTCACCTATGATTTTATGTATCACGACCTATATAAGGGTTCATCTTATGTATTCTAAAATCTCTACCACTATAAAATAATAATAATTAATACATATCAAGAATAATAGAACAATCAGGAACAATTTAGGTATGGTGCTGTGTTGGAGTGAAAACAAATGCTAATATTCTTATTTACAGTTAGTACTGTTTATGTTTCGCATTATTTATGATAATGGTACCCAAGAATTATTTTCATTAAACTCACTCAGAACGTAAATCATTAATTTATGAAATACGAAAATTGACTTTTTATCAAGCTCTCAGATTTTCAAACCTACTGGGTTAGGCACATACAAGAATTAAGTCCTACATTTCATGCTAGGCTATCGTAACTAACTGTTCCATAAATTGTGTTCTACTTCGTGTCTCTTAGCAGAAAAGGTCCTCGACCTCATGAATGTGACGATAGTGTTATTCATTCTCTGGTTTTGCTAGTCCAAGTGAAAGTGAGGTCGCGACGCTTTCTATCCGCAACGGAGCCGCAACGCGGTCGTGTTTCGTGCCGCGCCGGCTTTGCCGCACTTGCGAAAGCTGCCCGCCACCATCATCTTAGTTTCTTCTAAATAGAAAGCTGTATGAGCAATCTCTATTGATAGGTATTCACGGATGTTTTTGTTAACTAGCAGTTAGAAATACGCTTGTACTACAACTTTATTATAAATTCGTTTTAAACTGTCTAGTTCTAATAATTATAACTATTTCTACCGAAGGCTAAATTGTTTTTTTTTTATGAACCAAGTGAAGTCAAATCAAATAATATATTATTTGTATTTGAAAATTAGAATTGCATAGATCCGCAATTGGTACTATCAAATGTTATTGGTGTGATGTTAATTATAGTTTCCATCATATCCCTGGTAATTTAAGTCCCAGTCAGAAGGTTTTATTGATTTGGTTTGGTTATCAACATGATAAAGGCTTCTTCTCTGATGTCTTCTGGATAACACGATCTAGCATTTTATTACATAATAGTTAAGTCCACAGAACAGTGAATAAACATATTCTGTGGTTAAGTCCGTTAATCCGTAAAAATTTTTGGACACCAATGGTTGTCAAAGTTTTGTCCGATGTATCAAATAAAAAAATAATGAAATAGAAACTCCATGAGTTGGATAGGTACATGACTACGCGATATAATAAGCATCTTTTATAAGCGACCTTACGAAAAAGTACACATCGGTGCCTCCGCACGGGCGGCGGTGTTCCCGCCAAATCGAACAAAAAAAAACACAGGCACAGCTGTACCGTTCATATTTTGAAGCCATTCAAGACATTTACGACCTCCTGTGAATTCGCTATGCTATGACTACAAGACGGAATAAAGACAAAATGTAGGTATATTCCCCATTTGAAGGAGATAGCCCACTTTTGGGCCTATATGTTACAGAAAAAATAAATACTGTTTTTTTTTTCATTTGCTTTTAATACAAAAATAGTTATTTTAATTTACAGATGCTAAATAAAAATACTTGTATTACTTTCAAGTTTATACATTTTTCGTTATTAAGACAAGTGTATGCGAGATGGGCATTCGCCTTTAAGAAATATTACATGTTAAAATTTCTTAATTTTCACACTCACTCACTTACTCACCGATCATTACATTTTTAATGTCTTACATTGACACGATTACCATAACAAATGAGTTAACCAATTACCTAAGTAATAATTAGATCTCACAACCTTTAAAGACAAAAGAAATGCGTTGCGAGTTACGAGACTTGGGATTTTTTAATAGTAATGTTTGTTATAGGATTAGATTACGTTTATGCACAAATTAATATGTGACTGCTAATTCTCTACATTTAAGAGCTTATTGTGCGATGACTGACTTAGTAAAGAGTTTTCGCGACGACGCTGTTAGAATCATACTAATAGAGTAGAGGTGTATGTACCTAATCGTTCTTCCCTTTCTCGTCGTCTACCTTTCAATCAAAGGCGGAAAGGAGTTCAGAAGTATTTATAAACTTTATATACGTACACAGACCTTACATACGTATTCCCATAAATATAAATTTCAGTACTTAATAAATCAGTCGAAAGAAAGCTTTTTTTCCATGTATATTGTTAAAGTTTTTATTTGGCTTAATATGTATGTAAATTGCCAGCTTTAGGACTTAATATGTTGATGCTAAAGCATGTCAAATCTATAAACCCACGACTGTTGATTAAACTCAAACGGTATTATAATGGCTAACATAGTAACATCAACGTTATCTCGCTCATATTTCCGCCGTAGAAGTAATGTTTTAATTCTGTTAGTGTTTATCTTGATCTGTTTTACAGCCTTAATACCACCAATATACGTTACTCATCATGGTCTTGGAAAATGTGCGGAGAACACTGTAGCGCATTTTTATGACATGAAAGGAAACAACTCAAATATCACTGAATGCAGAATACTAGAAACACCTGAATAGTAAAACACGTCCAGTGAGTATTACAATGATACAATAAACTCGTATTGCCCCAATGGGTATACTTAGTCTAGGTCGGTACCAATGCTGCAATGTAAAATATATCTTTTTATGTTAGTTGCTCCGTCACATGTCAGTCTCGTCAGTCCAAAATTAAGTAATGCTACAGAAGAACTTGTTTAGTTTGTAGGCATAAAGCAACACGGTCCGCCGGTGTCCTGTGTTGCTCTATGGTTTGTAGGCGGTTACTGTCAATCGCTTTTCAATCAAAATTATACCGCCAGGAGATCTCTAGTATTACATAAAACGTGAATAAAAAGAAGAGATCACACAGCCCCAAAGTCTTTCAAAGTTAACTTCTAGAAATTTTTACATTGATGTAATTAAATGTCTCAATGTTTTGGAGACGGGTTTAAAGTAATAAACGCTATATTGTCATCCATTCATACTAATATTATAAATGCGAAAGTGTGTGTGTCGGTCTGTCAGTCTGTTACCTCTTCACGCTTAAACCGCTGAACCGATTTAGATAAAAAATTTGGGTCCCGGGAAAGGACATATGGTAGTTTTACCCCAGAAATCATACTTTAAGGGGGTGAAAATGGGGTGGAAGTTTGTATGGGCAATCAAGAACCACTGAACCGTGAAATTTTTTATGGAGATACTTTGATTCTTTAAGAAGGACATACTCTACTTTTAACGGATATTTACGCGGGTGGACATCATACAATGTCGCGGTGGCGCGCTAGTACATCATAAAATGTATCTCTTAATAGTTTTTGATTAATGTTTTGTAGCAAAATATTTAACATATTTTTTTATTTAACGCGTATATACCAAATACCAAACGAGCTGAAGCCTTAATTACGAAATTTAAAAACAATGTATACAGTTTTTGACATGTCATATACTCGTAATACAGGTTAGGCTGTGTTGTGTAAATATTCTCTTTCCATGGAACATATGGATATCCTCAGTACAATGCACTAGTGTCATATTATGTGCCGAGTGAAGGTATTCTTCTTTGATTCCGGAACAATGGACATTGTGCAGAACGCGACTTGATATGGGTTTCTACGTACATGTACGCTGCATACATGTTGTGTAACCCTTGTTCTAAAATACCATGCGAAAAGTCTAATTGCTGTTATCTTTATGATTATATTATTAAAGTATAATTTCATATCATCAACACATGGTATAAATTTGTTTTTAGGAACAAAAAGCGATTGTATGCGTGACCTTTATTTCAATACAGTATTTCTCACGACTTCCATCTAACTAGTTGGTCTAAATTCAACGTATAGGTATATTTATTTATTATGTATTACGATATAAAATTAACTTTTACAAAATCATTTGTTCCAAAGTACCTTATATAGTATTATATACCTACCAACAAGAGCAGATGCATATTTTGTCTCTGCCCATTGTTCTGAAATGTAAATCAATGTTCATGTAGTTATTTTCACCTGTGTCATTTCTTATACGAGACGTTTCGTAAACATACTTTATGATCTCACGACATCACAGATGTATTTACAAGTCCATAAACATAGTTGAACTAGTTTACTGTTAGCATTAATTTTAACGTTTCTAACTTTTAGATCACGAAGCGCTCTGAACACGAACGCTATATGAAGAAACCTAATTAGTAACAATAGAAAAATCCATAGCTGCCTATACTAATATTCCTGGTCACGCGTTGTTGAAACTAATAATTTGATTTGTATAAGATGTGCAAATATTTAGTAATGATATACCTTAGTCTGCAATATTAGGTGAAATTAAATATCTACTAATTGCCCACCTACTTCAAGAAGCTGAGTAACTTGATCATAAGAACCTTAT